ACACACAGGAATACAAGTAAAACTGGGGACATCTCAGTTAAGGTTGGTGAACTCTATTAAAGTACATCCCCTGCTTGTGATGTTTTATTACAGATTTGCAAAATGTTGCCATTGGGGCAGCTAGGTGGCCAAAGCGAGCGGGGGTCACTCTGGATTAAGACCTGGGGTTCAGATATCGTTAGGCCGCCTGCTGTTACAGGACCACGAGTTAGAGCTCTCCTTGTCTTCACCCAGCAAAGGAAAATGATCCCCCTGTCACAGACTGGCACGAGACAAGACAGGTTCCGTAGGCGCCAGTTCATCTCCTCTTTCCTTCTCCCTTTCAAGTACATTTCTATCACCTACATCCCAACCTCAAGAAACTACAAAAAGCAGAGCAATATAAACCCAAAGCGAGCAAGAGGGAGAGTATGATTAAGATCAGAAATCGCCAAAGTGCAAACAGAGAAACGAGGGGAAAAAAGCGATTTCTTCTAAAAATCAGTGTAATTGATCCATTTCTGAGACAATTATGAACACTGCAGAATTCTGCACGTTTCGTTACAACAGGGCAGAGACAGTAACTGCATTATAGAATATCTTCTCTTCACCCTCTCTTTTAAGCTTTTAGAACTATGTTTCATCCGTCATTTGATTTTACACTGAAAGGCGTGCCGCAGGGAGCAATGTTTGTTGAAAGGCAAATGCACGGCCCTTGTTGTTTTAAATGCACGTATCCCCCCGAAAAAGAATTAATGTCAAACACACACACTACAACTTTAAATGCTTTGGGGGACAGGTCATGGAAAAGAGATCTGCGGTGAGCAGCGTCTGAAGAAAGGCATGCATGTCTTGGTTCCTGGGAGAAAACAGCCCCAGTGAGTCAATACCGGTGATATAATTGGCAGAACAGCTCGGAAATGAGTCGGCTTGTCTGGACCCCAAGTTCGCTGGCAGTACCCGCACCCCACATCCGGCAGGGGCTGCAGGGGCTGCAGGAGTGCTGTGCTCCCCTTGGGACCTGTGCTTTTTCTCTGTAGGAAGGCTGCCTCCAAAGGCAACTCCTCAGGGCCCCCCAAGATCCCAGGACAGCTTGCTTTCCAGACACCCCAGAAACAGCTTGTAACCCAAATCTAAAATGCCAGTGCAGCGGTCAGCTCCTTTCTCTGACAGGGTTGTTGGGACAGAGAATGTAGGCGCTGTAGGGTCTCCAGGGAGGGGTGGTCCCCTGCTCACCATCCCCAGCGGGGTCATGCAGGTTGGGCAGCCCCCTCTCCTCCATGGGTGGACCACCCCCTAAAGCCCATTGTTACCTCCCCCTGAGTCCTACAATGTCTGACTGTCAATAAATGTGTCTTCAAAGAAGCAAGCAAGAAAGCTCTCAGATAAAGGGGCAGAGAAAGGCCAGCTCGTGGCGGATGACGCTTCAGTGGGGAACAGGGCCCGGCATTGGGTCGGGCCTGGGCCATCGGACGTACTTCATCTGGAGAGCACCTCAGCAGCTCCCCTTACATAGGTTTTCCTAACCTAAACTGCTCCAAGAGCTAGAAATGCACAGTGATGGAGTCCCCTGATAATAGAGATCTATAAACACACACGGTAGTTATTATATCAGTGTCAGCTTTCTTAGGGTCTTTCCACAGGACGATGCCCTTCAGCTCAGGGCATCAGCGGGGGGGGGGGGGGGGGGGGGGGGGGGGGGGTGGTGACAGTCTGACCAGGGCTGCGGCAGCTTCTAGAAGAAGCAGTTTCAAGAATACCGATCGGCCAACCCTAAGAAAGAGCCCCTTAGGGGCCGGCCCACAGACGCGGTCAGGCAGAGGCAACACCGCTTTGCTCTGACTCCCTTCCCTGATGCTGACGGCTCATCCCCGTCCAGAGACAGACCCCTGCAACCTGTGACCTGCGCCCGCAACCCCGGGACCACCTGAAGTGGGGTTCTCTCTTCCTGTCACCAGCTGCTCATAACGGCCAAGGCCGTGGGAGCCACTGAGAGCCACCTCTCTGGATATTCTCCTGGATATGGGGACTTGTCCACGTATGTCCCTGCAGAGGCCTCAGCAGGGCTCTGTTAGGTAAGGGCTTAATCTTGTCTTAAGTCTGTCATTCTGTAAAAATAACCTGAGCAAATTCACCACCTCTTCGGGTGATCAGGCTACTAAGAGAGTCCCCTAACATTATTCTCTTTTTTGCCAAGAAAGTTAAGAAAATAAAGCCATTGACAGAAACTAGAATTTTTAAGACCAGATTTAGGATGAGTGAGTTAGGCTAAGTCACGGTGCAGAATTCTTCTGAAATCAAGACCGAAATAGAATTCCGTACACCCCCGGCCCAACAAAGCCACCCACAAAATGTCGAGTCTGAGGTAGGAATACCAGCCTTCCATGAAAAAGATTCTTAACATATCTTATTGGGTTGTCGGAAAAGTCATGACATATTTTTTTCTATGTTTTTTGTTGCAAAAACGCGCCATGAGTTTTCCGACAACCCAATATTTGCTGTATGTACTATCATGAGATTGAGTGGTTCTATATGATGCCTGGTGCATAACTGCCCCGGCACATCTGTCATTTCTCTAATTAATTTCGAACTTCATGCTGAGAACACTGTCTGACATATAAGTACACACACAGGTGCAGTGCTGTATTCTCTAAAATTACCTGTTTATTTGAAGACGCTAGCTGTGACTGCTCTTTCTTTACCTATAATTTTGTGTATAAGGACTATATCGGTGGTTTTTCTTCTACTGCAGCTGATTAAATGCCCAACTGATCTTCATTGCATTATGTTCCCCAAAGGGTGCCTCAGTTTGATTCAGTTGGCTATTTCGTTTCTCATTTAGAGATTTGAGCTATGGAGAGGAGGCTCTCATAACACTTATGTCAACGTAATGCATAGCTGGCTCTCGCTCTCCGAACAACACGCAGTGGCAGGGACCGGCGGTGAGTGGCTTCCAGCCTCAATGGCGGCCTCGGGGGTTTCACGTGGCCTTACGTGGCTACATTTATATTTTATATTTCGCGTTTATTAGAAAGCTTCTCCCATTTGTTTTAGTGGCACCCTTTCTTAAATTAGACATTATGATGATGATGATACGGTTTTCCGTGTCGGCCACATTTCTCAGCTCCCCAGGATTTTCACATGCGTTATTTCAGTTTGCTCCCCACCACAGGCAAGGGAAGTTTATTATACACATTTTATAGCCGTGGGAGTAGAGGTACAGAGAGGTAAGCTGACGTCCCTCAGGGTCACAGAGGCAGTTAATGGCAGCGCTGGAGCTAGAGGCTGCATCTTTCTGGCCCCAGGGCCGCCACATACATAAATGCCACTTTTAGTTGGTGACTCAGCACAGGCAGCAACTACGGTGAGGGGGTGGGGAAAGACCCTTGCGCACCGGGCAGGAAGAGTAAGCTGATGCCACTTTTAGGGGTACCTGGAAAAGCACAGCTGTGTAAGTGAGGGCAGCCCTGAGCCCTGAGCCTCCTCTGCTGGAAGTTTCCCTGAGGGCATGAAAACGTGATGACAATGTTCCCGTTGAAGGTCGAGGGCTGCACAGCTGCTTATGAACACACACGCGTGGCGCGTGGGGAGGGACCACAGTGATGGGGGCGGGGGCAGAACTTTGGGGCTTAAATGCACCCTGGGTTTGTGAACGGGGTGAATCTGAGCCTCAGCTCCACCGTGAGTGTGGTGAGGATAGTGTTAACCCCTAACTGGGGATTAAAGTGAGGGTCAGGGAGATAACACGCGCTGGGCATTTTCAGTGCGTGGTAACTAAGAAATAATCGATAAATGTTCGCTACGATATTACCAGTGCTGTTATTATAACGATTATCCTAAGTCACGGGCCAGAAACACGATGTCAATCATTGCTAGTAGTGACAGACCAATAAAGAGATCAGGCAGAGACATGTGGTGATGGGGCAAGGTGCCCATGATATAATAAACAAAAGGAGTACGTGCCCCATGTGGTCAGCGGGAGGGCCCCTTCATTTTCAAAGGCGCTGGCAGCATCTTCCGCTGTGGCCCTTTTCAAAATATGAATGATCTCAAAAGTAACTACTGAACAAAAGAATGCAGGCGTACAATAGCGAGGACTCTATTTTCTAGCAGAACCAGGGGTTGGAGTAGTCAGCAGCAAGCTTTCTCCCAAACAACCAGAGAACCAGAGCAATGCTGCGGAGGCCAAGAACAGCAGGGGGGCGGTCTGCAGAGACTTCCGCCGGCCAGAGCCGTGTGGGGCTCCGTCGTTTCAGGAGCCACCACGTGATGCTATCTGTGCAACATGCAAAGGAGGTGACGAGTCACACAGGCACCTCTCTCTCTGCTGAAAATACCAACCAGCAAAGATACCCCTGGATCTTATTTTTAATTTTGATGGAACAGGTCTCATAAAAAGTGGCCGACCTGTCCTCCAGGCCCTGCATCTGGAGGTAGCTGGTGCCCAGGGTAAGGCAGCAGCAGGCAGACTGCGGCTCCAGCGGCAAGCATCACGCGGGATGCATGTCACCCGGCACGAAGGCTGGCCTGCGCTCACCAGGACTCTGGATACTGAGCTGCACAGCTATGCGGCGACTGACGACACCACTTTCCCCACAACCCCTGCTGCTTTTCCAGTGTAGTGTGACAGAAGGCAGCGGCTTTGGAGTCACGGCGCCATTCTAGAAAAAGGTGTGTGCTGCTGGAAACACTGGTACTATACTGCCCCAGGGGAGCACAGGAGAGGGGCTGAGAGGCGGGACTTGCGATGAGAAACTCATCGTTTCCACTTTCTCCTCTTCTGCAAGTTCTAATTTCTTGCCATAATTCTTAGCAACTTGGGCAAAAACATTCATAGAGATACAACACTGCCCTCAATCAGTCCTCGTGTGACGTCACACGGGAAACCACTAGATCACGGTATGTGGCATTTATTAAACTTCTGAGTGAGCATTGGGCGTCTGCCACAGGATCTCAAGGGGCACCCTGTTTGCACACATAACTGCATGAGGGGAGGAAGAGAAGCGAACGTGCACACTTACACATACAAGACTGTCCTGGTGTCACCCACTCTCCCAGCATCGCCCACCGTCAGGGTGTCATAGCCTCGCTCCAGCTCAAACTCCTCAAAGGCGAGCTTGATGACCTAGATTGAGGGCAAAGAGAGTGAGTTAGCACAACAGCAACATCCCGTGACTTCAAACGCTGCAAGTATCCAGGTGCAGCTTTAACTTCGCTCTGTAATTCCACGGTATTCCAAATGACTATAAGCTGCTGGTCCACAGTACACATGTGAGAGCCCTCAATTATAAACTGACGGGATTTAAAATTGCTATTACTCCGAAGAGATTTATTATGAGCTCTAAAAGTGAAATTAGCCCATATTACGCTTTAAGTCAAATATCTATGAAATATTTAGCATCTGCAGGATTCGGAATGACGGAAAGATAAGTCAATATAAGCAAAAGAAACATGGATTGTAGTTAATTAGATTCTGAGGAAACCCAGAACACAGGAAATAAATACTTTGAGTAATGTATGCAGATTTCACATAATTAGTTATATTAACATGTGAAAAAGACCTGCTGAGACTGGAAAGCTGTCTTCTAGATTTAATTTTGCAAAGCCTGGGCGTGTTTGGTTTTTACCAAGAGCACTGTCCTCATGGTCAGCACCTGGACATCTGGACAAGGCCAGTTTGTGTCCCACACACCAACAGCACAATTCCATGAGCTTCTCCCTGTAAAGCACAGGAGGCTTTTCACCTAAAGAACAAATGCTGCCTTTCATGACTACTATTGTGGTGAAGGGGAAAGTGAGCTGGAGATGTAAAGAACCCTGGTGACAGGGAGAGATGATGGATAGATAGATGGATGGATGGATGAATGGATAGATAGATAGATGGATAGATGGATGGATGGATAGATGATAGATAGATAGATAGATAGATAGACTAATAGACAGATGGATAGATGATAGATAATAGTAGATAGATAGATGATTGATAGGATAGATTCATGAAACTGATTGAGATGATAGATACAGATAGAAATACAGATTAGATAAATAACAGAGAGAGAGAGAGGGAGAGAAAGAGAGAGAGAGAGAGAGAGAGAGAGAGAGAGAGAGAGAGAGAGGAAACACAGAAAGTACAAAACCCACAATCCACAATATTGGAGATATATTTTAATGGGATCCTGTTCAGAATAAATCAGAAACCCTAGAACTTTGTACAAAAGTATCAAAAGCCTGTCTGTCAAACTGGAAGGAAAGACATGAGTGGCAGAAGGGGGAAGGCGGGCTCTGACTCACACCCAATTGGAAGTGAGCGGTTCAGAGCAGGCTCTAAGCAGGTGCCCTTCCTGCATTGCTAACACAGAATACATGACTTTTGCTACTTGAAATTCCTACTAAAATAAGTGATATGACATTATAATTTATTTTTAAAATCTACTCTTTCAAATTGCTGTGTTCGTATGAATACATTATTTAAGCCATCTGATTTGAAACCGGTGTAGAGATTGACAGCTGATGCAAACCACTCTAAGTACTGCACACGATACCTGGTACCTGAGCATGGTTTTCTTTCCATTGTTTCTTTCTCATGGGTTGGTTTCTAAGTGACCAGGTCAAGTAGGGAGAGAATAAAACAACTAAAGAATTATCACGAAGCCCTGGAGGTTCCCGTGACCTTTGTGACAAGTGTACTCAGTCGTGACATGTGTGCAGCCTACAGGAAGCAAAGCTAACCCAGTGAGGCCAGAAGGCGCTGGCTGGCAGGCTTGTCCCGAGGCTCGGGCGGGGGTCTCCCCACATAATGCACTTTCATTAGGGGTGTAAAAGGGCCACCTGTAACTCCTACAAGCCAAGGCAAAGGAAATCGTCAGGGGCTGCTGTAAAGGACTGTGTGCACGCCATGTCACTCACGCTCCATCAGAAGGGAAAATGTAGACCCGGTCTCGTGGAAACAGCCTCTACTGTGTCCGAAACATGCCACTATACAACTGGACGACAGAAATACACATGTGTAATGAAACAGGCCATCATTTCTCAATCAGTTCAAGTCAGAGATGCCACTGAAAAGTGGTGTTGACAGGGGAACATGTTTTTAATAAAACATTGTATGCATTTAAGGTGTGCTGCTCTGCGGTTTGATGTACATAGTGAAACGATCACTACAGCCGAGCTAACTGACGTGTCCTCACAGTTACCGTATTTCTGTGTGTGGTCAGGGCGCCTGAAATCTCCTCTTAGCAGATTTCCAGAGATCGATCCAATATCGACTGGTCACCATGCTGCGTCTGCTCATCCTCCATAACTGTGACACTGTCCCTTTGACCACCGTCTCCCGTGTCCCTCGCCGCAGTCCCCGCTAGCCATCATTCTGCTCTCTGCTTCTGTACATGAATATTTGGCTTTTTTAGATTCCACACCTAAGTGAGATCATGCAGTTTTGTTTTTTTCTGTTCCGGGCTTATTTCACTCAGCATAATGTCCACCAGGTGTATCTCTGCTGTTGCTAATGGCAAGGTTTCCTTTTTTATGGCTGAATAATATTCCATTGTAAAAAGATGTCACATTCTCTTTATCCATCCATCTGTCTGTTGATGGACACTGAGGTTGTTTCCATAACTTGGCTACTGTGGGTAATGCTGCAGCATGTTTTAAACTGTGCATGATTCAGTGACATTTAGCCAAAGTGGTTCCTCTAAATCACGCGTGTTGTCTCTGCCTGGAATTGGCCCTGCAGCCGTTCTGACAGACGTCCATCCCTCCCTCTGCACGTCTGTGCCTCCCTGGCCCATTCTGCCAAAGATGTCAGTGTCTTTGTCACCATCCTGCCTATCCCCTTCATAATATGGGGTTTTTGAAAGCTGTTGCTTGTACCTGCTGCCTCACACCCTCCGCTGTCAGCCCCATAGGGCAGACACCATGCCCGCTCCACCCACTGACAGAGACAATCAGGCCATCACCTAGGGTTTACTGAACGCCTCCTCTGTGCAGGCCACAGGGCTGGGGTGAAGCCGGAGGGAAAATGGACAAAGTTCCGGCCTTCAGAAGAGCTTAGAGTCTACAAGAGGGTATGTGGATAAACACGAGGTAATTATAGAATTTTTAACTCTTACAGATAAAGATTCCTTATTGACGATAGATAAAAAACGAAGATAACCGAAAAGGACAAAGTTCTTGGCTTCAAACACTGAAAACTCGCAAGGGGTATTGATAGATGCAAAATACTTATAGAATGTAACAGTTACTGATAAATATTTCTCAATGACAGCACATAACATTGTTTACTGTTTAGGTACAAATGGTTCGCACACTGTTTACCTACCTAATCGGTCTTCAGTTTTCTGTAAGGGAGCCGGGAGGGAATTAAATGGAGGACAAAACATTAAGTGAACTTGTTTAGCTTCTGTCACTACGGATAGTGCATCTATGACCCTGATAAGACATCTCCTTGCATACGCGCGCGCACACACACACACACAGGTTGTATGAACGCCATCCCTAGGAAATGAACACAGGAAGCAGAGTTTTCCCTGTCCCCCAGCGCTCGCATCCCTGCAGCGCCATCTAGCAGCCAGGGCCAGCACGCACTTCCTGACACTGCACATGAGGAAAGGGCTAGAAAAGGCCGCCAGAATCGCAGCTAACGCGCCCCAGCCAGGCGCTGGAGATGCCCATGATTTTGCAGGAGAGAAAACTGTTGCTCATTTGATGCACATACAAATACAAGTCTTTCCCTGTGGTGGGATGAAAGCAATCCCGGCGCTGTCCAGGAAAGGCCGACGTGGTGGGGGAGCAGGGACATCCGCGGGCTGTCACTCGGGCGCGGACCTCAGGCAGTTCAACTGCGTTTGCTCCAGTTTCCTCAGCAAAGAATACGGTGAGGGCCCAGTGGAAGGTGACCGACGGGGACATGGACTCTAACAGGACTTAATTGTTACTAGCCTGACACTCCTCTCTCAGAAGAAGAACATGGGAGCAGAGGTGACAGGGGCTTCCCCCGCAATTCTTAGTGAAAGGTTTAGAACTCCAGCTGGGGGCTCCTGGCTCGTGAGTTAGTGCTTCTTAGATTTTTCTTTCCACCTTCACATAGAATGAAGAAAACGAAGAAAAGTCGAGGTTATGAAATTCAGTTCCATTTCTTTTTCATTCTCCTTCAAAATACTCAGTTTTAAAGTATTTTTTTGACATGTTTAGCCCACTGTAAGGTTTTGTTGTTGTTGTTGTTTTCCTGATCCCCAAATTCAATCTAACCTATTGGTATAATAAAGATGTAGCGGTCACGTCCTACATACAGAGTGCTGTCAAGTCTCTGGTAATTAAACTGCTGCAGAGTCGCTGCTGTGCAGTGAGCTTGTCCAGTGGAGGCAGCGCTGCCCGTGGCAGGCGGGTATGGGGACAGGTCACCCTCAGGTGTGAGAGAGTCGGTGGGGAGGCTCTGAGACCGGCGGTCACAGAACATTTCCGGGGATGACGCCTGTACTAAAGGTGGGGTTCTCACCCCAGGTGCTGGGAGCACCCAAAACATGCCCTAGAAGTATCTTGGAGTCTGTTTCCTATCGCCAGCCTCCTGGAAAACCACAGCACAATCCAATGTCCAATCTAGTTTCACTCCCCAGTTTGTGCAAAATGGGTTTGTTCATTTTACAATAATTTTTAGTAGATATTAAACTTTTCTCTCTTCAGTGCCTTGCCAAAATATTGGCAACAAGGCAAACAAACAAAATAAGTAACTGTGCTTGAATTAAGTGTAGTCCAAATTAGTACAATTTATTCTCAGGATTTTTTTGTTTAAGAACAGAAGGTGCTAGTTTTTCAGACAGAAAAGTTAAGGAAAAGAAGCATACAATAAACTTTAAATGGGGGCAATAACTTGGAAAATTGGATGGGTTTTCTTTTTTTTTAGGTATGCAAAAGAGAAAAGAGAATTTAGCTTTCTAATCTTGATTAAGTAAAAATTGCAAGAGCGTTGGTAGTTACAAGTTACACTGTCAGAAGAATTGTTTCAAAAATTGTTTTGATATACTCTTAATTTTCAAATAGAGAAAACAGAAATACACAGATAGAACAGCCACTGATGTAACACTGAATTTTTAAGTACTAATTTAAAACAAATATAAAAACATTGTTCTGAAA